ATAGGTTGCAGAGTTGTATCGTCATGTGTTATTTTTCTTCACAAAACAATAACAACATTTTTACAACTGTCATGAAATATCATGACTTCACGACAAACACCACGGTGCAGCGAACAAAGGTGGCGCCGTCAGTGGTACCGCTACTTTGGTTTTGCCGATTTTGACAGTTGTGGTAACTTGTAAATAAACCTTTGTTTACAAATCAGCGAAAGAGAAATATGAATTATTAGTGAAAAATCAGTTTAAATTGTGTCAATTTGCAATTTGTGAGTGATTTTTGAGTTGAGGACTGCGTAAAAACTAATACTATGAAGTGCTGTGTGTTAAATTGCGACAGCCGTCAAGATGCAGGAAGCCTAGATGCAAGTGTAGCGCTGGGACGAGTCGTTGCATTTTGTGTACATAGGGCACGGCAAAGTTGTTCCCGAAATGTTTCTCTATTATTATTTTAAAAGCATTTCCTCACAATGATTTTGTTTCTGCTCCACGCAGTCTCCATTAGCAAGTTAACTAATAAATCCCGCAGAGATGCTGCTGCAGTTTTCTGTAGCAGCCTCAATTGCAAAGCAATGGAGTGCACTAAAACGTTTGCTGAAGCAGCCTCAATTGCAAAGCAATGGAGTGCACTAAAATGTTCACTGTTCTCTAATAGATTAGGTGAAAAATGCAATATTTTTGCATTTAGCAAAATTAAAACACGTTTTTCGCTGTAAAGTAAACAGCTTTGGCAGTTTCAACTCGTTCTTCTTTTCGCTCTATTCTTTGTTTACTTGTGGTACACAAATGTCAACGCCCAGGACGGCGCAATCTTGTATTCTATCATTCTTGGACAAACACGACAAATACGACACCTTGTGAATTGCCCAAATAAGTTTCTTGTCCGCCTTCCTTCGCGTTTTTTGCTGCTACATCCACGGTGTCGTTTTCTTTAATGCCGGAATGGCTTGGTATGTAATGAAATTCGATCGAATATAAACTGTTATTAATTTTCGTTATAATGCTGTTAATGATAAAGTTGTTGTGCTTGTTTTCAATGGCCAATAAACCGCTGAGGCTGTCTGTTAATATCGCGACTTTTTTGAAATTGTTATCAATAGCATCATTTATTGCTTTATCAATTGCTATTAGTTCAGCTGTCATTGATGAAAGTACTTCGTTGATGTAATAACTTTTTGTAATTTTTCGTGCTTCATGGTGAAATGCTGCTCCTGTAAAGTTTTCTTTGATTGATCCATCAGTATAAATTAGTTAAATTTCATCGGTTTTTAATTTTTCTATTTTTTCTTTGAATATTTGTAAAGTAATTTCTTTAGACCAAGGTACATTGAACAGGTAGTATCAGTAGAGCAGCTGATTTGATTTATTTTCAAATTATTTGGTCTCGAAAATGTCAAATATTTTTAATTTTTTCTCACGAAAATTATAAGTTGTTAAAATCCATTGCTTGTGAAACCTTTTTCCATACAAAACAAGCGATTGAATAGCAGCTTTTGGAACGTTCGCCCAACTCGGCAGCACGACCGCTGATTACTGGGCCTTGCAAAGGATGGATCATTGCTTCGAGAAGCAAACAAATTTACTTGCATCAATTTTTATTTTTTCCAGTTTCAATTTTTTATTTTTTATAATTTTTTGTATTTCCCATGGCACGCTTTGATTTAGAAGAAAAAATTCAGAACAGTTTTTGACACTTTCGATACCAGAAGCAACAACAAAATACACGCAAATGTTGTTTTTGCTCTACTGATACTACCTGTTTAATGTGCCTTGCGTTATAGCTTCATTAGAAGCAGGGCCAATAACATAAATCAACAAACAAACAAACAAAGTTTCACCTCTTGCTGCATGAATCAAAGAAAAATTAGGCCAGAAACGTAAATTACTTACAAAATCACATAAAAATTTACCGAAAGAAGGCCGCAGAAGTATGCTCTTTGTCGGAATCGTAGAAAAGTAACCACTGACCAAAAACCATTTGCATCATAGAGGTACTACGTGCAACCGTCCCTCCGGCCGTAGACCCAGCAGCACAGTGCAGTAAGCAGGTTGGTAGCAGGAACAGCCGATCGAGGCACGGTGTGGTGCAGTGCATTTGTGTTACCGACAACAAGTTCCCTTGGAGTTGTCGCAACGGCGCCGTTTAGGATGGATGCCAAAAATGACGATTCCGCTGGCAGCGACTCGCTGGACAAGTCTTTGCAAAAGAAATGTGTAGTCGATGACGTTGGTCAGGGTGAGGGTTCAACGGCAAATGCAGCGCTGGCGCAAGGCATTAGTGAAAGAAATGATAAACAAAAATCGGATACTGACGCTGAAAATCACCCTCCTGCAATTTCCAATAATTCACAAAACAAGACTGAGAAGAGTGCAGGTGATGGCGTATGCGGTAGTGTCTTGGAAAATAGTTGCCGAGTGGAAGGTAAATATGAAAGCAGTAGCATTCACAACGCAGGGATTGCAAACGATTCAGAAACAGCGCTTGTAGTTGATGATGCGCACGAAGCGGCTAATGTCGCCAATGTTAATAGCAATGCGGCAGAAGGTAAAACGTACACTCTTAACAGTGATGATGCCGCCATTTCCAATAATATAGAAAATGATGCAGCAGAGGCGCCTAGCGAAAGTAACTCCAATAGTAGCAACAACAGCACCAATAGCAACAGTAATTGTAGCAGCAACAATAGTTATGTCTTCGAAACAAAAGTTAAGCGGATCTCCAAGAACCTCAAAGAGACAACTCTGGCTGAGTGCGCGAATAAGAAAGCCTCAGCAGACGATACGAACTCCACTTCGTCCGCATCTTCAGCCTCATCGGCCTCGTCTACACCGGAGTGTGAACAGGCGACAGTCGATGACGCGACGGCGGCTTTATACTCGTTGGGTCCTAGCACTAGCGCCGCCGCGGCGGCAGCAGCAGCAGCCGTAGCTGGCGGTGCCAGTGGCCAAGATGAGCATGATCATCGCTCAAAAAAAGTACGGTTTCATCCAGATGTTAAGGAAAACGACGGTGGTAATAGGGTTATTCCAAAAAAGAAGAAGAAACTGAAAACAGCTCAGGCTGGAGGTAGCCCGGGCAGCGGCGCTGGTGGCGCTGGCGATGATGCGTCAGGTAGTAGTCAACGAGGTACATCGGCTGAAGATGACATGGAGTTTGACGAAGAGGAAGATGTGGAAGAGGAAGGTACTTTCAGCATAGCTAAAACGATAGAAGACGCGCAAGATTATTTGAAGGAGCATCCGCTCACATTTGCCGGTTCATTTGATAAAAGTAATGTCACCACACAAAGCGGTCTGCTAGAAGAAGGAGACTTACCACAGCTAGCCGAAGCATCAGAAGACGATGACGAAGACTTCTGTGGTCAAGAGCTTCCAGAGAATGGAGTGGCATGCATTCTAGGCAAACAAAATAAATGCGGAAAGGTAGAGATATTATTTCCAATTATGAATTTTGATACCCAATATGCAATTTTTATATTTACGAAATTAATGAATAAACTTATTTTCATAAGGTTGAGTTCCTGCTGCGTTATGTAGATCGGCCTGGCTTATTTTGGGAAACAGAAGAATTAATCGGTCAGCGATGTCCCAATTTACTTAATCAGTATGAGCAATGTCGTGAAAAACGTCAGGCGCGTTTAGTGAGTTGTATACAAGTAATTATTACGGAACCTTTGTGTTTTTAAAACAATTATTTTTCCCCAACTAGATGAACTTTGTGGCGAAGCGTCAAAACCTACGGCAGCGATACACCGACTTCTAGAAACAAATGTGTTCACGTTGAGGTTGACTTGACTACTGGAACAACAACCATATTTCGCTTTATAGTGTTTGCGGTGCAGAAATGCTTCTCACGATAAAAATATATATATATACAAAAATCATTACAATACAAAAAGTATGAAATTTAACGCAAAATTGCTGCTTTATTACAGGCTAACCTAATATTCACGCACGCCGCCAATTTATTGTCAAAAATTTCTCATACACATGCAACTTGTATGAGATCAACCGAAATTGAACGGCGTGCGTATGAAGCTAACCTAATTCCAATTTTTGTTCTGCGTGACGTGATTTGACGTTTCGCTCAATGAAATCAAATGCAAACGCATGCAAGTCAATTTCGGGTGACGTAAAAAAA